TATTAATGGAACATACAACATGTGGGCAGCCACCAATGTTTCTTGTATGTCTAAGACCATGAAAGATGCTTCAGTGGATAATGCAAGATTTGAAAGTTTGCATGATGTAAGACTGTAAGAGCATCTGTTTTGGGAATAAGTGGGTTTTAAGAAGTTGTGGAATTACTCAGTGTTTCAGAAAGTTTTCTTGTCATATTGAGACTGCATGCAGACTTTGTTTTCTGAACCCAATAATTTAATTGTACTGTTGTTGACAGTTTGTACCTCAAGTTTTCAGTACCCTTCTAATTTGGTCCATTGAACCTCTTCTGTTGATACTAGTAAAATAATGTACATGTATGCATGTTGTCTGTTGCACTATTTACCCACACCATTGACATATCACAAAGACTGAATGTTATCTTTCATCAATATGTGTGCAAAATGTTCCCTTCGTGATGTGCATGGGTCTCTCATGAAAAACACCCACAGTTTTCAAAGGTTGTTTAGTAAACTGCAAGGCCATAGGGTTAAATCTCGTATACATGTACATGTAGTTTACTCATAAACATGTATTTGAGACTACATACTTTGCAAGTTAGAATTGACTAGGAGTTAATTATAGGCTGGTTTTAGAACTTCATTCACAGTTGTGTATCAATATGTGCCTGGCCAATTAACCCTGTGCCTCATGTATTACTACTGCTACATGTATGTCAAATGCTTCGTCTCTGCTTCATGCTAATAAAGTGTGACCTTACTTGTAAAGTGGAAAGTAAATTAGGCCAAACAAAACATGAGTTGTATTTCCTATTACACTAAAAAATAAATTAGGGTTGTTGGTTGGGTTAAATATTATTTTTACTCTAAATTTTTATAGCCCCAAAAATTCGGATCAGATGATGGTCTGTATTTTTGGGGGGGGCTTATATTTGTAACAGGTACTGAGTCAGTGTCAGATTAATACTGTACATGTGCAAATCAATATTACATGCATGTATCAGTACTCATAGAGCAAGGTAGCAGCTGGTTGTTGAAATAAATTTTACATTTACATGTATTTCATTTTTCGGGATGCATACAAATTACAGCCAAGAAAGTTACATATACAAATACAAACATTACAAAGGGATAAAATCAATAAAGAAGAATAATACACAATATCCACTTAGCTCCGGATGGATTGCCTAAAAGAAACAAGTTTCTGTCAAGAGGCTCTCCAAACTAATTGGATTATAGAATTCTATGTATAAATATTAATGTAGCCTCTTAACACGGACATAATTTTTCAATGAAATAAAATACGTGAGTACATGTACATGTACTTGACATGACATGTAAATATTATACTGAATGTAGTGTTTGCAATTAAAAGGAGAATAAATAATTGAAGTAAATAAAATTAAAGTGACTAATTTAGATAGTATAATGAATATGATCAGTACATACAGGGGTATCAATATTAATCAAAACCCAGTTTACAAGGCATTGCTAATGCATAAAATTCTAATTACATCTAATATCAGTCCTGCACCTGTCCAAGGTGTGAGGAGTGTTTTGGTTGATTTACTGAAATTGAATTAGATAATTGCCTCTGGTGGACAGGAAGAGAAGAGGATTCTTATGTATGTATGTTGGAAAGAGTGTTCTGGGGGCAAGCGAAATTGGGTCTAGACTGAAGAGATAGTCTCGTAAAGAATTGATGAAAGGTTGCAAAGAAAATTCGAGACAAAGGTCCAGAATGTCACCAGAGAGTAAGTTAAAGTACCTGGGAAAGAAGATAAACAGAGAAAATTTTGAATAGTTAGTACCGCTGTCTTGGTGCTTGAACAACAAAGTGTTGGTTTTCCTGGTGTTGACCTGTGGGAGAAATTTGGAAGAAAGAGAAACCTGTTTGTAGAGGCATTTGACAACAAATGAGATGCTGAGGTAGAGTAGGCGATTGTACAGAGGAGGCAATTGAAGCTTGGCAAGACGTTGTTGATAAGAGAAATAGCAACATTGTAAGGAAGGTAAGATTTAGTGAAGCAGCGTCGGATTGTTTCAAGATATTAAGTGTGGTTTTTCTGTTGGGGTAGCCAAACTGGTGAGCCGTATTCCAAGATTGAGCTACGGAGAGAACAGTATAATTTAAGTAAGACACCAGCATTTCTGGATTTTGCAATACATCTGGAACACTTTCTGCAAATAGTGTCTACATGTTTGGTCCAGGTGAGATCATTTGAAATAGTGATGCCAAGATATTTGTAGGAGGAGACGACTTCTAGTGGTTCAGAATCTGCAAAAAAGTATGGAGTTAGTGATTGCATTCTGGAGCGAGTGATGTGCATGACCTTGCACTTGGTGGAGTTAAGCTGCATAAAATTCTCAGAACACCAGTTGATGATAGAATTTAGGTCATTCTGGAAAATGCAACCGTCATTGTTACATTTAATAATTCTATACAAAACAGTGTCATCAGCATATTGAGGAAGAGAAGATTGCACATGGTTTTCTGAGTAAGCTGTGAAGAAGTTAAATAAAATGGGACCTAAAACGGAGCCGTGAGGTACCCCTGAAGTTACAGGTATCCAGTCAGATTTCGCTCCCAAGAAGAGAACTCGTTGTTCTCTGATGGAAAGAAAGTCAGCAATCCATGAGAAAATATTACCACAAATTCCATATTGATGCAGCTTGTGAAGGAGGATTGAGTGAATCGCATCTCTCGAGCTTTGCACCAGTCCAAAAAGATTGCTTTGATTCGAGGAGGGCTGGAAACATCAAGTGCCTGGGACCATGTGTGAAAGAGGGAGGCTAGCTGAGTAGTACTGGAACGTCTTGGTTGAAATCCATGTTGGGAATCTGGGATGATATTTCACTGCGAAGAATGGTCAAGTAATTTATGTTACATGTAAAACCTTCAAGCATTTTGCAAGGAACCGAGGTTAATGAAATTGGTCTGTGATTGCTGATGATGGATTTGTCACCATGTTTAATTAAAGGAACGACATTTGCCTGCTTCCAGTTTTGGGGAACTACAGCAGTGGAGAGACTCAGATTAAATATGCTGGATAATATTGGAACAATGGAGGTACACGTACCTGCAAATTTAAGAATTTTGGGGAGATGTCATCCAAGCTAGGTGTCTTAGATGGATTAAGCTTGTCAATGGCCTTGATCACATCAGCATGAGAGACTTGAAGAGAATAGAGTTGGCTTACACTAGGATGGGCATCACAGACATTGATGTCATCGGGGAGATTACAAACACACAAACACACAAGAGCCTTCCATCTCATGCCAAAAAAATTAAAACAATACAATGTACTGGATGATGTACACAAAATTAGGCTCGGGGCAAGGCATCATAAGTCTTTATATTTAATTGATTGGTTGAATAAAAAGATAAAGGTTCCACACAAATTTCTAGGTTGGGTCGGATAACCGGAAACACACTACAGTGTAGCTATTTTTCGTTTGGCCATACATGAACATGTAATTCTGACCTGTGTGTCCCCCTTTGGATACTGAGTGACCCATGTACTGGGGTACCAGTGTGTGGATCATGACTTCAATACAATATGTTTTGATGATGAGGGAGTTACAGTACATGTTAGTTAATGGGATCATATAAAGGGTGTGCTTTCAGACAGGTTTCACCAATGCAAAGTATGCAAAACTGGGGCTGATTCATAATGAATGAAAATACTACCCTTTTATTGAGTACAAGTACATGTATGTACGTTGTATCTGCAATGTTAATATTTAATGTACACAAAGAGTATACACTTAGCTAGAAGCAAGTTTTAGTCAAATGTTAATCCTATAAAAGTGTCATTGTTCTGCTTGATGCATTTAAAATTGTGTGAAATCAACTTACATGTGCACAAATGTACTTTATAAATTGCAGGGTAGCATCACAATGTTTATCAAGAATTGTCCAAATTTCAGCCTGAATTGTAATGAGTATTATCACATCACAGCCCTGGTGGACTGTTAGCATTGTACTTTAAAAACTTCACATACTCTTCCTCAGATGAACTTCATTTGTTCAGTTCAATGATCTACAGTATATGTACAGTATACAGCTTGGTATAACCATAGAGGAAGGACACAGGAGTTTAAACTGCCGAGGCTGTAACATCCGGCCAATTACCACTTTCTGGCATGCCTCGGATGTCCATAGCCAGAGCCATAGCCATCTGTTTCACAACCACGAAACACCCTTGTACCCAATGATCATCGTCGCCGCGATTTGTTGATGGTAATCTGCATCCTTAAAACTTCGTGAACTGAGGTATAGGAAATTGAATATTCATGCCTTTGTTGGTGCTTGGCATGATCTCATGACAACATCAAATTTAATAGTTGCACAGTTGCTTGCTTTACACTGTGTGCCCTAACTCTATATGTGCAGTTATTGCCCTTAATGAACTCTTTCTTCTGGAGTTATTTTGGGAATAAATAGCCCAGTTGTTTACAAGTTTTTGTGTTTTGTTTGAATCATTGTTATTATGGCATTTGTACAAAAGTGTATTTTATGAGATTTCATGATCACTCCCTGTGATGAAATAGCGCATTTTGTTGCTAATGAACTAAGCTTTCCAGTAGTAGTGAACATTTTGTTGGCCAGTCTTAGCCAAATTCTTACCAAGGCTTTGAACACTGATGTACATGTATTGGACGGAGGAGAATAAAATTACAACTTTGTGTGGATAATGGAACAGTGTATCAAAATTTAAAAAGTGTATTTACGATGGCAAAAGTATGTGTAATATCAGAAGTTTTCTCTCTCTATTTTCTGGTCACATTGATAATTTGTATTTGATTGCAAGCAAAAAACTGCAAGTGTTGCCAGGATATTACTGGCCCCGCTTGTCCGGCTACGATGCAGGCAGTAATCAGGCATTTTTGGAATGTTTTCTATTATTCGTCTGACTTGGCGGTGACCATCATTGAACACTTTAAAGTGCCTGAGTTGCAACTCCTGTGTCCTTCCTCTATGGTATAACTTTGTGTGCCTTTCTTTATTCATTGCACAGAGAGAATTTGCAGCCAACTCAAAATGTGTGGTTTCAATGGAAGGCAATGTAACCACTATAACCAACCCAAATACTGGAAAGGAGCACACTTTTGCCTATGACTACTCTTACTGGTCACACAATGGATTTCAAGAAAATGAAGATGGGCTGAATGTTCCAACAGATGACCATTACGCAGATCAGGTCAGTCATCTCAATTTATACTCAAAACTCTGTGTAGCATTTTTACATGTGCAAGAACCCATTGGCACAATGTGTTTTTGTAGTGTTCTTGTAGAGTAGGAAACCTTCAATGTTGCAAAAAAACCCAAAATCTCCTGATTGTTTGTAAGAAGGGTTAAGGTTTTACAGTGTTTATTCTATAATTACTCAAAATTCCTATACCACCTTTTAACTGTAATATTCCAGTTTATCAGTAGCAAGGTTGTTGGTGAACAAAAATTGTCATATGGTAGTATTTTATGCATCTGTTAGGTGGACCAAGTGGTTGCAGAAGGTATAGCATATTTTAATATTGATTTCTCAGCCTGTTCAAAAAGTGTTCATTCATTTCTGAATATTGATCATTAATTTGTATTTGCAGTTAAACTAATGATGTCTTCAGTCCCATTTCAATTTAACGAAAATGTCATCTCTCTTGTGCAATCGTTTGTGAGGAATGGGCATCCAAATTTGATACTTGCACAATAAATGATGCAAGTAAACCTTTTCCCACCAAGCTGGGTCATACAGTGTCATGCATGGGTAGTCAAATTTAACTTATTGTTGGTAAGATCTCATTATTCCAAAACTGATGTATGGTATGAAAATAAAACTGGGTTAATATGCCCCCCTTGAAAATTTCACCCTCTATGTACACTTCTGCCAAAACATCTTATTGATGCACATCATGAGCATGGTGCTGGATATCAACAACTTGTTGACACCATGTGTACAGTATGTGTATTTTGTTCCACCACAACAATAATTACAGAACCTTTCTACATAAAGGCCACTGATGGCACTTACCAAGAAGTCTGTGATGTGTGTACTGAACGTTGAATCTTAAAGAAATCAAGCAGTAACTTGACATTTTTCACTTTTAAATTTTTGAGATGTGAGTCAATGAACATTCAGATGACAACCTCCAAACTTTAAACACACTCATATCTAAAACGTACAGCACCTCCAGAGCTAAGTGATGTCATTTAACCACTTCCAGCCAGGGTGCCCGGTTTCGGGCACCGTGTGCTTATATGCAGAGCGGGGGTGCCCGGATTAAGACAAAAGAGCTAGTTTGTGTAACAAAAGACTGTACTCGAAACAAAGGACCTGCTGGTGGGAATTGGCATCATTTTTCGACTTCCATTTTTTGAAAGTAATCCGGCACTGTTTTGAAACAGTACATCACTGTTTTAAGAATAGCGCACCCGCGGATTAGCACCGCAGACAAAAGCGCTCCAGCATGTCCAGGGCCCCATTGATAAGGGACACAGCACCACTACTGCTCGCTAATCCAGCCGCGTATGAAGAGACGCTACTGGCATTCAGCGGAACAATGGAAATTGTGCAACACCTTACAATTCTGGGCTCTCTTTTACAGGGTTGCAGACCTGGGCTGAATACTCAGGCGTCATTGAAGGTTGCCTGACAGATTAGAGTAGCCACCAGAGAGTCGTTCGTGTGGGTGTAAACATCCAGTGAATAAACACATGAATTTTTGAAGAATTTTGAAAAGGTCCCATCATCTTATCCTGCTCAAGAAAAATCCACCCGGCAGGAAGTGGTTAAAGCTTCTACTGGTACATTGGCCTTCATTTCAGAAAATAAAACTAAAACCGGCGTAAAGTGCTGAAAAATTTGTAATGTACGTGGAAGCATGAGACAAATCTAAGCCTCCAGGGTTACATATATATTCAAGCACGTGCAACAAACTGTATAGCAATGCATGTACATGCACAAACTCTATGGAGAAACACATAAAGGTATTTACATGTTTGTGTTTACATGTGGAAACAATCTTCAAAAAGTTATATTTTGGAACTTTGAGAGTGCCTGTCACAAGATTTGCTAAGAGTATTGTTGAGAATGTTGACATCATAAGCTAAGATTTTGGAATAGAATTTGAAATTTAAGCACACTCACTTTCACAATATAAGACCAAAGGTCATCAAAAAGAATAAAAAGATATACACACTGACTTTCCAGGTGCTGTCCTTTTTGTTTTAAGTGTTTAAATTTCAGAGGTTATGCAAATTTGGCACAAACTGAGTTGTATCCAAAATATTCACCAGGGAAATTTAAGACAAAAATTCAGTTCCGGAGGTTTCTCATGCAAGTTAATCATCACAACAAATGTCATTCTTATTTTATACTTATGGACCATGCATACATGTTGGTTGTGTCCAAAGAACTTGGCTATACTGCTGGCAATTACAGTGGCTAAACCCTCAGTTACATCATGTATGCACACCATCCATAGAATGTGGTATAAAGATTCACGTTTAGGGGACTATTTAACATTTACCAAGAGTCCAAAAATAGGTTCTCTCGAACAATATTATATGCATGCATGATCCATCAGGCACATGTTTATAATGCTTTTATGTTCTTTCAGAGAATTGTCTTCAATGATCTTGGAAGAGGAGTGCTGGACAATGCTTGGCAGGGGTACAATGCTGCCTTATTTGCATATGGTCAGACAGGCGCCGGAAAAAGTTACTCAATGATTGGTTATGGAATAAATAAGGGCATAGTACCTATCACATGTGACGAGCTGTTCAAAGCTATCGACAGTAATAAAGATTCTACCAAGCAGCTGCAGGTGTCATTTAGTATGCTGGAGATCTACAATGAACAGGTACAATCTCTGTGCTTATGCTGAGCTTTCATTCTTACTTCAAAGACAGTCAATTGGGGGAACACTTTGAATACCATACAGGCAGCCCACAAATGCTTGTTTTAAGATTTTAGGACTTGTATAGGGCATACAGTACTCGTTTTATTTTGAATGGTTGTAAAAGAATATGCTTGGTTGGGTGTTTAAAGCATGGGAATGAACATGTATCATCCAATTTAATCCTAAAAAGTGGGTGATTTTCTCCCGTGTCATTACATCACTTTCTTATCCTGCCCAAATAATATCATGAGTTTTGGCCTGCAGTCATTTTGACATTAGTTTTATGCAAATATGACTTAGTATTCTCATTTAATGTCCATTTTTAAGAGACTTTCTGCAAGTTAATTCACAGAACTTGGTCTCTTATTTATGTCTGTATTTTCTGTGTTCATGAGTATAATTTGAAGTTGTTCTGCTCATGGTAAAAGGTTTAGTGCCCGCTGATCTAGATGCGTTTAGGGATATCAGTTACTGATATCTTTCAGAATTTCATCTTTGAATAGTTGATGACAAACGAGCCATCCACTGATTACTTCAGTGTTTTTGTTGACTCTACTTTTGTCTCTGACTGTATATGGTGTTTTGTTTCATCTTCCTTTTGTGTTGCATATCTTGTGCTTGTGTGCTCATTACTGCCTTTGCATTGTGTTTTTACTTTCTAATTTTGTGTCAACATACATGTTTATTCATACATTTGCCAGTCTCCCCGTCATTTTCCTGAGCTAGCTAATGTTTCTTTAAACTTTGTGTTTTTTTGTAGGTTCGAGATTTGTTAGTGAAACCAACTAAAGGTACCTTCCATGCGCTGAAAGTACGTCAAAACCCTCAGACAGGCTTTTATGTGGATGGACTCAAGGTAAAAGAGACCAGAACTACTACAGCTTTATCAGAACTTTCATAGGTTAACCCTAACACTCCACAGTCCTCCAACAGGTGAAGGATTGAGGAGGGTTAGGGTTAAGGATAGTTTGAGGTAATCTTTGAGAAATTATGCATTGCAGAAAAATGATGGGTTGTTGTTTTAATAAATAAGTTCTCTTCTACAATGTTTGAGTTCAATTAATTGTTATGGATTATTAGAAGGAATGTGTCAACATTGCTTTTATTCTGTTCACTTTATGCTGGTGAAGAAAGTGACATTTCAAAAGTATGCATACAGTGTCTGGTGTGCAGGCATGGCATACAATGTACATGTACATAGACTGGACCTCTGCATAAAAGAAGTCCACATAATGTAGGGTGTGATGGCATTGCGTAGACTGGCACACGTCCACACAATGTTTTCCCCACTCTGAAAAACAGTTTCTGAGGCATTTTGGGGTCAAGGTCATCATGGCATAATGAAGAGGAATAGTCCAGGAAATCATCATCAAAAATCCAGCTCGAAGGAGTTATCCTAGTTGGAGAAAACAGAGCATTTTCCTCAAGTTTCCTTTACCATAGGAGAACAAAGGAATGTCCACATTTTATATGGAAAACAGGTATTAGTTGTGCAAGTGGATGTACATGTACATCAAATTGAATGGAGCAAAAAGTAAGTGAAATTAAAATCGAGTGGGAAGTAGTTACTTTTGGTCAATTTGACATTACAACATATATAAGCAGGATTAACTTGGCAGTCATTACTTATACATTCACAGAATGTACCAGTGAGAGATTACAAACAAATAGAACATCTCATGGATCAAGGAACACTCAATAGGACAACTGCTTCCACCAATATGAATGCAACCAGTAGTAGATCTCACATGGTCATAACATTAAAATTTAAGCAGGTAGGTAATTTGTAGTTATTGGAATTTCACATTTGTATTATTTGAATGCGTAATAATAATTGCACAGATGGGAGGCTTGTCTCGTAATGTACATGAATGTTCCCTTGGATTAAAAGCATGCATTTCCAGAATGGCTGCAGTATTTACACTGATGGAGAAAAGTAATGTGAATGATTCATCCACCCCCACTTACCTTGACAATTTCTCCTTTGTATATCATCTCTAAATTAACATCCCTTTAATAATTCTACCATGCATACTTGTCATTACTTGTAGTTCCGCACAGTGTAGTACATGTATAATCTTAATGCATTTGCAGATGTACATTAATGAAAATGGACAAAACACCACAAAAAGCAGTGAAATCAACTTGGTTGATCTGGCTGGTAGTGAGAGAGCCAAAGCAACAGGTGCTACAGGGGATAGACTCAAAGAAGGCTCAGCAATTAACCAGAGTTTATCTATGCTCGGCAATGTTATTAGGTATAGTATGTGCACATTGCTTTTATCTCATGTGGAACTTTCTCATCAGCTGTGGAATTTTTATCTGTTTTGTCATTGAATTGTGTTCCAGCCAAAGTTGTCAATGAAGTAAACTTTCTTGTGTGAATCCTGAGTAATTTACATGTAAGTGATGCTTTCTTTTTTCCCAACAGTGCCCTTGCAGATCAGTCCATGGGAAAGAATGTTAGAGTGCCATACAGGGATTCAGTACTTACTAAATTGTTGCAGAATGCACTAGGAGGGAACAGCAAAACCATCATGGTTGGTAAAGTTTACTTACCTTCCCTACCTAGCTGATTGTTGGTGGGACCAAGGTTTAGGTCTTTGCATCAAAAATTGAAAAAGTTTAAGAGAACGTTACAGGAGTCAAAGCGAATTGGGAGGAAGAAGGTGGTACTCAAACCTCACAGACTCGTCATACTTTGACATGTACTTACAAAGACAAACACTGTACGTGTGGCTCTGGGTGCTGATTTTGACTCAGCAATGGTAATTATTTAGTATTTTAATTAGCTGTTTACTACTGCTTAATTATGCTTGAAGTCCTTTTCTACTACACTTACTAAATTTAGCCCCTAAAGAACCATGTTACCCATGCGCAAGAAAAACAATATAAAAGCACACACAGGAGCAACATGAGCTGGTGTGCTAGTAAAGAGTGTGTGTGATTTCATAGGGCCTGCTATTTTGACATCACAATCATGCTTTTCCTGCAAGTGGCTGCTTTACAGTTGGCAGTCATTACAAAAGTGAAAAAATAATTCACAAAGATTTAAAAATCACTTCCAGCTGTCAGACCACCAGATAATAATACACATAATTCTAAACACTAAATGAAAATACAACTCTGTTTAAAAGTATTGGGACAAATGTCCATTTTCAAAAATCAACCAAAAGGCGATACATGTATTTCTGCAAACTGTGGCCTACCATACAAGAAAAACTTCCTGAGTGTCTCAACCAACCAGGTGTGTAGATAAATTTCTTTGTTTATTGTCCAAGGCCCTTAAGGCTCGTGAAGCCGCACATTCTGACATTATTCTCAACATTATTTCTTTCAAGATTGCTGCTCTAAGTCCTGCAGACATTAACTTTGAGGAAACATTGTCCACCTTACGCTATGCTGACCGAGCTAAGAAGATCCAGAACAAGGCTGTGGTGAATGAGAGTCCAACGGAAAGACTAATCCGAGAACTACGAGAGGAGAATGCTAAGTTGATGAAAATGTTGAAATCTGGTGGACATGTCGGCTCATCAGATGCTGGTAAATTCAGGCCTAACATTTCCCTTTTGGAATTTTCATTCAAAATGGCTTCAGTGGCTAGATTACATTCGTTTTCAGTGCATAATTATTTCAGTACTGGTATGTACAAAATTATTTACTTCCACAGCATTCAGTAGTATAAGATATTGTATTTGTCCCACAAGATGGAGGTGAGATGGTTTGATGTACATATTACAAATAATTGGTTTGTATGCAATGGAATCATGGGGATCACAGACATCACTCTGGTACCTTTATTGTGAAGCCCAGTTGTCCCACAGGTCATGCCTACATATACATCAAACACATGCTACATACACGTATGGGTCTTGGTGTATGAACCATACATGACACCATCAACCATTACTTCATGATGTCACTGGTTATGTGGAGAAGTGGGTTACCCGGACAAAAACTGAATGAAAAGATATGCCTGGAAAATTCCTGACATAAACAACTTACATGTGTAAACGTACAAATCACACGCACCATTCAATGCCAGTGTAGTTGTGCTTGTTTACCTGCCTTAAATAACTTCTTGTAGCTTAACACCCAGTTGGTTTCAATTTAAATGCTCCCACATCATGCATAATACCAAATTCACTCACCACTGATCCATCTTCTTACCTATCCTCTTTTGGCCTATGGGTCCTGGAGGATGTACTAGTCTCGTACTATTGTCCTCTCCTCTCTTGTACACTACCATGTTGGCTTCTGGTGCACCCCAGCAATCCTTTCTCTTTTGGGCCCAGTAAGTTATCATCTTATTTTGTAACTACAACATTGTCGTAATGTCTACTGTCATACTTTTACATCTTTTGTTCACCAATTTAAGTTTTGCCTTCTTTAGGAATGTCATTATTTGAAATGAGAAAGGCCATCTGGAGACTGTGAGCATTTTACTGAACCATTTCAGTTTGAAAGTGTCTAGCTTTTTGCTACTGCCTTTTGATTATCCACTTGTTTCACAGCCATATAGCAGAGCAGGAACTACTAGATATTTAAACATAATTTTGTATTCAAGGTGAGAGTTTGTGAATTCCATATTTGTTTTGGTTTCATGATGAATGCAACTCTTGATTGCATGTTCTGTTGTGAATTTCTCCCATTCCCAAACACCCTAATTATACTGACATTAACACTTTACCCATGGTGTGTATTTTTCATCTTTATTCAGCTGGTTGGTCTGCTAACACTGTTGTGCCAGTAGATATATACTAAGTAATTCCAAGACCTCAGTTTTCTTGGTGCATATTTTCAGACCAGCTTTGGCAGCATGGTGAGCTGGCCTGCTTTTGTCTGCATGTGATGAATGCTTGTTCATGTCATCAGGAAAGTCTGAATGTTTGTATTATAAAGGTTTACTGCCTTTCATTGACTTGCTTATATGGTCATACTTCTAATAATGGATATCCGCCATGGTCGTCCTTGTCTAATTCCAGCCTGTTCATCTGACATCTCAATTTGTTTACCCCCAGCTTCTGATTCTGTCAATAAATACTCTTCCAACTACTGTATTTGGGACAGACGCCACTCTCCATTAATTCACTTTTCTTCAGTAGTTTGATATTAAGACCCATATTCCTCTGTCTGGCATCTTCTAGTCTGTTGACCCCATATTGCGGTGAACAGACCAGTCTACAGCACGTGTCTACAGCATGTGTCTACTGACAATTACAGTCTTCAGGATCTCATCCTTACCATCAGCTTGCCATTTAATTCAGAAGCTTTCAATTGCTACTTTGATTTCTAGGGCTTAGTTGATGTGATTAATTCACTGTTCAAATATTCGACCTTCGATTCGATCAAATATCCCAATATTTGGTCATACTGAAGGACAGATTTTTGATCAACAAATCATATACAACATAAGTTGCAATAACACATGCGATTGTACATTATAATTACTAGAATAGCTTCTCATGTCTAGGAGTATCTCCAGCCACAGTTTTGCATTCGGATATTCAAATTTGGAAAATAATATTCAAATATTTGATAATCAATCAAATATTCAGATATTTGGCACAGCCCTAATGATTTCTGTCTGTTTCATGTTCTTAATCATCTTGTAGTTTGTTGTTCTGTTGGTTTCAACTTAAATGCAAAATCTAAAATTCTGTCACTTAAGCACTTTCAGTCTTTAAAAGGCTTTATTCATTGTTTTAGAGAAACCACTGTCATGTTTGTTGACAATGTTTTTGGTTTTACCAGATATTGAAAGTCTTCTAAAGGAGAATGAAAGACAAATGCAGGAGATGAACAAAACCTGGGAGCATAGACTTCAAGAGGCAAGGTAGTTTGACACCTTTTTGGTTTTTGTACTAATGCATATTCTGTAATTTATTAACGAGTAAAAATGTGATGTCATCTCGGAAAAACTGAAATGTTGCTTTAATTTGTACACAAAAATTTGGACTGTTAGTATTTTGCTGTTCTAAACAGAGCATGAAATTCTAGTCATAGGTTTCTGACCACTGACTGCATTTGCCCAACCAGCCACAGAAGTACTCAGACAAAATATCCAAATGATTAAGAAATCTGAAACATTTTTAGTCAGATTGTGTAATTGTAGTTCGTGGCAACAATTCTGTTGGTTGTTACTTTGCAAAGGGAAGCATCCTTAAATCCACTGGGGCATTGTTTTCACAATTCACCACAACACATGCATTTCAACAGCAGATCATAAACTCCATAGATCAGTGGTTCATACTTACATTGAGTGATGGATACGGCTAGCCAGATTAATGTTGTACTGGCAACTCTTTACAAACAGCATTCAGTTCAAGTTGCTATTGACTCATGCCTCTGCACAAACACTCAAACAGTTTCCATCCAAAAAGTTGTCTTCAGTTAATTTGTTAAACTTTGTTCAGTTAATGTAAGACATTGATGGGTTTGGCCAGTAATGCCCGAATCATCTAAACACCACGGCATTTTCATCTAGGAAGGTCGCATGTGTTTGTGGTTTGAAATAAAGTTTATCCAAAAAGTGGGGTCACGGTACAAAAATTAGTTAATAGAAATGGTATTAGTCTGCCACATTGTAACTTTCAAGGAAGTCATTGCCTAATATCAGTGTTGTATTTGAGTGTATCACAAGTCCCTACAAGTCCATCACAAGTCATACAGAAAACCAATTCACAAGCTTTTCAAATGAACTGTGATAGAAGCATTCTTTTGTCACTGTTCACCCTGTTACTTATGACTGGCCTTGTGAAGGGACTTGTGACTGGACTTGTGAAAGGACTTGGGATGGACTCACCTCCAACACTGTCTAATATGCAGTTTAAGGGCATTATTACAGATTGATTGATGAACATATTGTAACAAGCTCAATTTATGTGCTAAGTATATGTGATATTAGATACTGGCAAATTGCCGAGATGTTTCTCACAGATGTTTTGAGTGAGCAATATTATTGGGTCCACAGCTAGAACAGGAAAATGCACAAACTGGGCAAGAGCTTCCCTGATTGGCATGATGGCAACGGTACCTTCAGTTATCTAGTAAAGCTTGGACAATGTTAAATGTTTAAAAGCATGTACTTTTCAGCACACTTACATGCATACATTGTCACTCAAAAAGCATTTTAAATGGTTTTCATACACTGTACATTGAAGAAGAGTCTAAAGATACACAAAAAGTGTCTAAGAAAAAATTGTCGCATATGGAGATTCTGTAAAATCTTTTTGAAATATTAAATTAAAAAAATGAATGAATAATACTGTCAGATACTGTTGGAGTTATAAATGCCTTGTTGGCGGCTACTACTAAGAGAATTCAATAATTTTTGTTTAAATTAATTCTCAGTTTATGTATTTCTCTGAACATTGCTGCCAGTCACACTACAAATTGTAATAGCTTCATTTTCAGTTAATATGTGCAGAAAATCTCTGAAATGCTTCATGAATGCTTAAGTGATATTACAATTCAGATGCTACATGGAGATTGTATATTATGTAGAAAAATTAGGGTTTAGTTTGAAGTTCACACCATGGCCCTTTAATGCAGTAGTTGAAATTCTTTAAGTACATGTATTTTACAAATGTTTCCATTTATTTTTCACAGGGAAGAATGGGAGAAAAGCCAACGGTTAGGTCAAGAGGTATTAATTGGATTCAGATTTCTGAACCAGTTTCCTTTTTTCTATTTGTCTTACTTTTCTTCATACTTTTTTCTTCAGGATTACAAATAGTGTGCAAATAGTTGCTCAGTTACCAAGTGCAGTTTCATGTATTTACAATGTAGCTTGGGCCTCTCTTAGTAAGGCTGGTCTCTCTCAAATTTGATTTTGCAGTTACATGTATGTTAAAAATGTGATTCAGAAATAAGGGAATAGATTTCGAAAAATGAGTGCAGTACTTGTGTTTGCTCATGAAGATGCTGTGGATTCTTCCAGCATGTAAATCTTCTAAAAGTACATCTAGGATTAACGCAAAGTGATCACATTTAAATCATGTTCAAGTTATCACATGTTACAATCTATGTGAATTTGGATTGTTACAAATTGAAAGACTGATTATGCTGATAGATCATGTTAACCACTTCGTGCCAGGGCATTTACCAATGTTGATGATGCTGGGCTGGCATGACTATCATTTTTTCCGTTTTCAAAATCCTTCAAAAATTCATCATTTCATTTAACGGTTGTTTATAGCCGCACGAAGTAATCTTTAGGCACTACTCTAAGTTGATAGGTGACCTTCATTGACGCCCGAGGTTTTCAGCCAGGCCTGCAGCCTTGTAAACAGAGCCCAGATTGTGCGGTGTTACACAACTGTCTTTTGTTCACGAACCTGGCTCAGTGCACTGCTGACCTCTTTTCAATAGGGGCCAGATTAGCGTGCAGCAGCGGTGCTGTGTGGCTCATCGCTGCGGTGGTGGGGTGCTTTTGTCCACGGTGGTAAGCCGCTCGCTCTCAATGCCCCAAACCCTGGTATAGGGTTTCAAAACAAGGCTGGATTATCACCACTTTTGAGAGTGAAAAATGTCAGTAATGCCCAGCAGCCTGGTCTTTTGTTCAGAGTACGGTCTTTTGTTACAGGGCCCAGTTTCTTTTGTCCAAGTTCGGAGACCCGGCCACCAATATAAACTATATGTCTCCGATCCCGGAGTCCCCGGCAGGAAGTGGTTAATGTGGGGAATTGGAATATGATAAGGAAAACTTTTTAGAATTCACACTATGCCAGTGTCCTGCCAATTTTCAATATACATGTAATTTTAATCACATCAAGCTTGTTTATACTGCATAATTATTCTCATTGTTGTAGAAATGATTTGCAATGTAGCTTTCCATTTCTCTTCATTTGTCCGTCTTTTTCTTGGTTCTGTTAGGAGAGCAGTGATTATGAACACCATCCCTATATTCAGAATGTAAATGAAGATCCACATCTCTCAGGAATAATTAAACATGTCATCTTGGAGGGTACGACCATTGTTGGGAAAGGACTCGGGGATGGGAAGGAAACCCACAGAATTGACCTAGCTGGGCTTGGGTAAGTAGCTGTTGTGTGGAGAGTCCGAACATTGACAATGTATGATATGCTTGAACTGGGCTACATGCACATCGAACTGAATCATTAAAGAGTCTGTCCCCTGCCTGGTACTGGTGCACAATTAAAGTCTTGATAACTCAAAGTCAGTTAAATTTAAGTCCATTATATCAAAGCCATAGTTTATTCCCACCTAAAGAATAGGCTTTTATGTACAAAAATACCTCCATAACTTGATATGCCCCCACCACTACATTCACATATCTAGAAGTTTTTGCCTGATGTTTTTGTTTTTGATCAATCCAACAAGACCGTTGCCAAAACTTTAGTAAGTGTGCAAAGGAATGCAAGACTAGGGTTGAGAGTCATCACTGCCAATTAAGCCTGCTTCCTTTTTTGACAGAGTGGCCAATTGTAGGCATGTCATATGCTCTATTCTAAAAGCAAACCTAACTACAACATACGTGCTTCCAAGCTAGCCTGACTGCTTCTTTGGACTTGACTGTAGCCCATACACGGGCAGTTCAAGCACTGATGACTCTGCCGTGGCCATTTTGCTCATCATCCAGTGCCTACACAGGGCTCCATAGGAAGGGCAAATCATGATGTGATTTTTGTCAAGCACTTATTAGACAGTTCATTTGAACAGTAACAAATTTTGTCTTTTCCATGTATGTAATACAAAACTGCTGCAAACTGCTTGCTGACTACAATGACCTAAAATACAAATTTCAAAATATGGAGGGCCTGACATTTCAATCCTAGCAGGAGCTTTCTCAAAGGCAAAATGACAAGTGGACAGGACAAACTAGCACACGGGGAATCAACCAAGCATGGATGAATGCAAGAGGACAAAAGGAAAGGTCAAGAAAGCTGCAGGCTGGATAAAGGGGCAAGGGATGAAGGGATTGT